GTAAATTAGCCCTATCTTCCCAGATTGTTAGCCTTGACATGATCTAAGCAAAGTCAATTTTTAGTTGGCTTGACTTGCTCTCTGTCACAAGGATTCTATTTCTCTCTTCTACAGAAAATTAGCTTTACAATTATATACAAATAAAAGGATTACTGTACTAGGTTGCAGTATATTTAAGATGATGGCATTCAAAACAGGATTTCAGTGTGCCAAATGCATTTTCTCAAGCACTGAAAAAGTTGTGATCTTTTTGTAGCTACCATTTTATCCTCATCATAGACTCTGTTAATTTGCTACTGATTCCTTCCTCCTTCCTGGCAATTCTCTCAGACAAACCAGATCATTTACACAATTTTCAATGCTGATCTTTAGTTCATACTTAAATATATTGTTCTTAAAACTGCTCATTTGCACTTTTACATTTTTTTGCCTCTGGCTCGACACAGAGGACTATCTTGTAATGTTTCTTTGTTGCAGCCAGAAATGGTTATTTCAACACTTTCCTAACTGATGTCCATATTTCCTTCCTTCATTAACTCCATACCATGTCTAAACCTCTATGTATCACATATTAAGCTGAAATGTCAATCAACTTTATCTTCACCAGTTTTCACTGGCTCCCCTTTCATGGATGTATTAAATTCCCTCCACTGCTTTTGTAAACTCCCCAATCTTTATAACCCTTCCCAAAGAACTTGTTTGCCTGATTCTGGCCTTCTTGTCATTCCCTTCTGTTTTTGTCCACCAATGACATTAGAAACTACAGTTACTTCCTTCTTCCCAAAATTTCTTCGTGGACATTTCTCCTTCCACTAGGAAAAATGTTGTTCCCCACAGCCAAGCTTTGTCTGGCTCAACGGACTTGTGTGAACCACAGTGAGATATTTCCAATGTTAAAGGCCTATGGAAATTCAAATTTTTGTGATTTAAAGTTTTCCTTTGCTTCCAAGATCTGTGATGAGATCACATCATAAATTGATGGGGTGGTGATTTTTCAGGACTGTTTAACTTCATCACCCATGAAGAGGGGATGGAAACGTGTGGAGAAGAAAACACTCAATGTTGCATTGAGCACTACTTGAAATACTGGCATGCCTCAATTTCAAATTTCTTCCTGTATAACCATAGAATTATTTGGTTTACTCATATACTTTTGTGTGCAAATTGCAACTGCATTAATCAGAAAGTGAAGGTTGGCATCCCGATTAAAACAGCATTTTGCAATTGTTGTGTATTTTCAGATAAAATCAATAATGAAAGTCAATTCTTAAATGGCCAATTATATTCGGATGACCAACTCCACAAACACTTGAAAAATGGCCTTAGAGTGCAGGATTATAAAAATGCAACTAATGCAGGATGCTAGTCTCAACCGGATTTAGGGTGGGTGGTTAATTTTATTAACTTATATGTAGTTTGCGCCTTATGTGGAGAGTGGAATGAAGAGGGCCTTGTTGAGGTCCTTACAAAACTGAAGAATGTTGCCAGTTAAAGCTTCACGTAACAGGATAAAGATCCCAAAGTTTAAACACGGTCACATTTTCACAAAGTAGTATTTGATATGTCAGTCCAACATGTCATTATCTGTAATTTTCTGTAGAAAAACAGCATATCCCTTATGCCACTTACTATTTATTTGACTATTAATATATTATTTGTGTACTCGCTTTTCCTAGTTTGTTAATTTGCCTTTATTCATCACATTCAAAAACTGTTCTTGTCACATCAAGGTGGAATAAACAAGGAAGACAATGCTTCAGAGTTTCTTTTTCTCTGAAGTCTTGTCAAAATCCCCAATGGTACAAGATGTCAGTACAAAAAAAAGGCTTGCCAAGCATTAACTGTTACTAAAATTAAAAATATTTTGGATTTTTGGTCGGTGAAAGTAATATTTAGACATACTTCCCAGGACAGAAAGCATATTCTCTGTGAAAGGGAAACAATGTCATAAAGCTTGTAAATATGAATCCAATACCAACCAGATGCCAACTATTATCACAGTATTGTGCATCTTGTGATGAACTGTAAACAGGCACGAATGGCTTTCATGGAAAAAAGGGACTTGGATTTTCCCTGTATGTGCAGGATGATGAACCTTTGGACTGTATAAATTCTACCTTAGAGCTCTCCAGAAACAGTAGCTAGCATTGTATGAATGAATTTAAACTATTCAATTGAACATGTAATGCATCATAAATACAAAAGCTAGAAACAAAAGAGGAAAGGCAAAATTCAGGAGTTGTAGCTGGAACTTTCACTGTCTAAGTACGATGACATTGGGTATTCCACTTATTTCCAAAGAAAATCATTTTCCTGAAAATGTCAAGTTGATTTGCAAACTTGTCATAGGAAAGCCTGGACATAAACCATTTACCTTCCAGTTATAATTAGTCAAACAGTGCCTTGATAAAATCTGAAAGAAGTGCACATGCTGTATAAATCAGAAACAAAAACAAAAATTGCTTGAAAAGCTCAGCAGGTCTGACAGTATCTGTGAAGCAAAATCAGAGTTAATGTTTCAGGTCCAGTGACTCTTCCTCAGAACTGTTCTCAAGTTCAATGAGGTCATGGCTGATCTGCGGCCTTACTCTATATATCTGACTTTTTTTTAATAGAATCCCTACAGTGCTGAATGGCCTCCTTCTGCAAATTAAGTCCACACTGACCCTCCAAAGAGCATCCCACCCAGACCTAGCCCCTACCCTATTCCAGTATTTTCACATTTACCATGGCTAATCCATCTAGCCTGCACATCCCTGGACACCATGTACAATTTAGCATGGCCAACCCACCTAACCTGCACATCTTTGGACTGTGGGTGGAAACTGGAGAACCCAGCAGAAACCCACGTGCAAACTCACACAGTCACCCAAGGCTGGAATCGAACCTGGGTCCCTAGTGCTGTGAGGCAACAGTACTAACCACTGAGCCACGGTGCCACCTATATCTTTGGCCCCTATCCCTTAATACCTTTGATTAACAAAAATTTATCTATCTCAGATTTAAAACTAACAACTGATCTAGCATCAACTATCATTTGGGGAACAAAGGTCCAAACCTCTACCACCGTTTGTATATAAGAGTGCTTCCCAACATCTCTCCTGTAAGGTTGGATGCTAATTTTTAGACTATGTCCCCTAGTTTTAGAATCCCCAATCAGTGGAAATAGTTGATCATTATCTACCTTACCTTTTCTTCTCAACATCTTGAAGATATACATAATAGGGATTGAAAATTAGAATGCCCTTGGAAGAACCATTTGAAGCTAGCTTTCTAAGCAGGGAACACTGATATCAAATCATTCTATATGTAGAGAAAATATCACTTTGGTTTTCAGAACCAAATCTGCAGGCATTGACCTCAGTTAACATGAACACCACTGTTACTTGGAGTCAACTCCCAACGTCATCCATGACTCAATAAGTAAACCGTATTCGTTCATTACTGTTTACAAATCACATTGTAGTACTCTGTAAATGTTGAAACCACATAACAATTGGAATTAAAGAAAGCCCGCCATCCATTAGAATAACCTCCAATTTTATTAATTTGATTTAATAACCTGTCTCTGACATATATTCATGAAATCTTATGGTAACATCATGCCGTGAATGATGTGATTGAATTTTACTATTATCCATCGACCCGATCATTGACAGATCTAGTACTTTATCATTCACTTATAGATTGTGGGTGTTGCTGGCTAGGCCAGCACTTATTGCTCATTTCTACATGTTAATTCAAAGGAAGGGGAGAGAAAGAGGACTTTTAAAAGCAGTGATTTCAATGACAGGCGTGATTTTAAAGCGTGGAGTTCATTAACTTTTCTCTGGAGAGTAATCACGGAGAAGAGGAAGGTTGCCAAATTTGAAATTTTGCTGTTCATTCCTTTCGTTTGTCTGGGAGGTCAAATGAGATAGAAATTCGACTGTTAGTACAAAAATGTAATTTTTATGTCCAGATTATACTTCAAAACAATATTCAGAAGGAAGGCTTTATTTTTGGAATTTATACAACTCACATTAAAGTTGTTTAGTGGCTAATTATACTTTTGAAATCTTATATGGTTTCCTAAATAATAGCTCAGAGCTTCCTCTGTTTCTGCTGGTGTCACCGAGACTTCATTGAGTTGTGATGGAAATTCTGTCTGCACAGATACAATGTTTTCCATTGTTTGATACCTGTGAATATTTCATCGATACAATACTCATCCTATACACTTGGAAAATTGTGATGAGTCTGAAGTTAAATCTAAATAAACTCAATGAAATATTCAATTATTTGACCCTTTGCCTTCCTTTATGAATTTTCCAGCATCAAGACATCATTTGTTATTGTTTGTTGTATTGTGACAAAATAAAACATTTTTCCACTATGCAGCTATCAGAAATATCAGTTCCAGCACTCCTGATTTGGGTTTTTACACAGACAGATACTGTTCCAATAATGGACTTAACCCAAACTAAGCTAAACTCAGAACATCACATTTTACTCCACTACTATGACATTTTACTTCCCACACCATTTACTCTCACCCCTGTTGTGAGGCTAATTAATTCCAAATTATGGGAAATTTCTTTTGGTGGATTCGCATCCGTAACTGACTGAACAGTGGCTGCCCAAAATCATGCTCCTTAGGGTGCTTCATGGACAAGAGAAGAGATACTTAATTTTGTGCTAATTGGCTTCAAAACAGCCAGAAGGATGTGAGGCGTGGGAAAAGAAAGGTGCTCTCGTGAAGCATGGGTGTTTTTGGGTATTGGTTAAAGTCAAAATTGGAAGTTGTGTAAGTGGACTATCCTGAACTGAAACCTAGGTCCTGGGTATAAAAGAAATCTCAAAAATTATCTAACAATACTGTTCTGTGAAATGCACAGTCAGTCTACAATGTTTCTCTTTTTTTTAATATAAGAACAAAGTATCATCTACCCGATATGTATATGTTTGCTTCGTAAACTGTGTCAACAGTAAGCAATAAATTCAAAATAAATTTACACTACCTGCTTCAAGGTATCATCCACACCTCTCATGTATCTAATCAAGTTTTCTCTGTCTCTGTATGCAAAAAAACAGATTTTATCCAAATATGAATGTAAGGAAAAAATCTCAAATTGAAGTTATTCCTATGGAGTAATAACTGGCTTATAACAAAGACATCATAATTCTGAAAAATGCCATACTATTGAATGTAGAGAAAATAGTAGAGTTTTGTGCATTGAATGTATAAATGATTACTTCAATAACACATGATTGTAGGCCATCTTAAACTTCAACTTAGTGCAGTAAGATTTCAGTACATTATCTGTACAATTACAAAATTATGTCATGAATAATGTGCACTTAAGAAATATCAATGTATTAAAATGCCTAAAATTCTAAAACAAAATCAATTTGAATGTACATGTGCCTCATGTAAAACAGTAATTAATAATTTGCAAAATTATACTATGAATAGCAACTTCTTAAATAAACAAATGCGACAAAATTCCCTAGCAATAAGAAGAATGATTAGTTTTTAAACACCTGGGATACCAGTTCTCATCAAATAATTTTCAAGAGTCTTTATGGCCCACAGAATCTATGATAAAAGAACAATCTGGCCTTGATTTAACAGGGCAGTTTTTGTTTCTAATGGCCTTGTCACACATTCAAAAAATTGTGAATAATACCTAAAATTTCAAAGAAGACTCGTCATACAAAAAATACTGAACATTTATCTATGCATTAATGAGACAATCACATTCATCATCTGCATCCCTAAATATCTTGTCCACACATCTTTTAAAACAACCTCAGCCTCTTTCAAATGGCTATATCCATTTAACAGGAGGCTTAATTATTTGTATTTCTGAAAGACTACTTTTACCTTGTTCTAATACTATTCTGAGTCGGAGCACTGTTGACACAACAGAAAGTGTGTTTACACAGTAACTGACATTTGTTGTGTAATTGAGTTATTTTATCCCTACAAAGCTTTAGGAATTTATTTTACTTGAAGTGGTTGGATTATATTTTTACTTGACAAAGGACAATTCACAATTATTGAAACGTATAACTAAAACCACGAATGTACAATTACATTTAAATAGTTTGTTATTGTTTACTTTTTGCTGGGAATAAAAATGTAAATGAATATTAAGTGCTCCTTCAAATACAGATACAACATCCAAAGTTCAATGTGCCGCAGTACCATGAAACAGCCACCCCAATTTAATTGTCACTAGCCAGGTAAGCAAATGGAATTTGGAGGCTACAATTGTGGTGGGCAGAACAGTGGCCAGCATTAGAGTTGTGGGGACTGGAAATGCAATCTTGTTCCTCAGTGGCCCTCAAAAGTTCAACACGTACTTCTGAAGCTTCTTCAATTCCAAAGAAATTTATTGAAGAAACACAGAAGACCATGTCCAACTTAAATTGGCAATCCAGAGTTCTATTTGTACCACTGGAGTTCTGATTTCCAAATCTGAAAAAGCATTCGGTCACCAGAAAAAAAACAGGGGTTCCGGACACCAAGGTGCAGGGCTGGATGAACAC